GTTTAGTAAAATCAAATTATTGTATACAGATACGGATAGTTTAATATATCATATATTTACAAATGATTTTTACACTGATATAAAACCTGACCTTTCATCATACTTTGATACCTCAGATTATGATACAAATAATATTTTTGAATATCCAAAATTAAATAAAAAGAAATTAGGTTTTTTTAAAGATGAAAATAATGGTAAAATCATGAAAGAATTTGTGGGTTTACGATCCAAAATGTACGCTTTTAACTTAGAGAATAAGACTATAGCCAAGGCAAAAGGGGTAAATAAATGTATCACTAAAAAGATGACAATGAATAGTTATAAGTCTTCTCTATTTAATAAAAAAGTGCAATATTATAGCATGCTTAGATTTAAATCAATTAAACACACAATTTTCACACAAAAATTAAATAAGATAGGTTTATCATATAATGACACAAAGAGACATATTTTAGATAATAATATTGAAACATTAGCTTGGGGTCATTATAAACTGCGTTAAGTGTTGATAGTTTTTACTTTTATGTCTGCGTTTAAGAAAAATTTATATTGATTGTAAAATTATGATAATACTATAATATGATGTAGTTTATTACATATTTAAACATTGTTTTATTGTAAATAATTTAAGTTAATTGTTGTTTCTATTTATTTGAGGTTGAGTTAATTGTAAAATTATGATGTACTAATTGTTGTTTCTATTTATTTGAGGTTGAGTTAATTGTAAAATTATGATGTACTAATTGTTGTTTCTATTTATTTGAGGTTGAGTTAATTGTAAAATTATGATGTACTAATTGTGTTAGAAATAGTATACAGATAATTCTGTTTTATATAATTTTTGGAATATATATTAATTGTTTACACCAACACTTTCATTTTTTATTTCACCCCTTTGAACTTTAGACGTGTGTTATGTTTCACTTTATCCATCCGTTCACTGCTATTGTGGCAGGACCAAGTGGGTGTGGGAAGTCAAATTTTGTAACAAATTTCATAAAATCAGTTACAGAAATATGTAATTGTGATTTTAATCAGATCACATGGTGCTTTGATGAAATGCAACCATTATATAATTTACCAAATGTTAACTATCATCAAGGAATTCCAAATCTTAATATGTTTGATGGTGAAAACCCACATCTTGTTATTATTGATGATCTAATGAGAGAGTCCGATGGAAGAATTGTGGATATATTTACAAAAGGTAGTCATCACAGGAATCTTAGTGTATTTTATCTAACACAAAATTTATTTCATCAGGGTAAAGGACAAAGAGACATATCTTTAAACTCAAGTTATATAATATATTTTAAAAACCCTCGAGATAAAACTCAAATAAGATATTTAGCAAGACAAGTATCACCAGATAACCCAAAATTCATTGAAAATGCCTACAGGGATGCAACTCTAGAGGCGCATGGATATTTAATGGTAGATTTAAAACAGAATACCAATGATTTTTGTCGTATCAAGACAAATGTCTTTCCATTTAATGGTTTCTGTACAGTCTACGTCCCCACAAAAGAGTTTAAATACACCAAGAATCAAACAATTGAAATCATTGCTAAATGATGCATCGTCGACTCACAACGTATAAACATTTGCTAACCGCTTTGCATACGCTTAAACCAAAATATCAAAGAGCATTACTTAAAACGTGTGATGAAGAAGAAATTAACTGTATTTGTGAGTGTATTCATAACGTTTTACAAGGAAAAGTACCTCTTAAAGATCAGGATAAACAAAAATTGAATAAACATAAAAACATACTCCGTAAACTAGTACGTAAGTGTAAACATAAACTAAGAAAAAATATAATTATACAAAAAGGAGGGGCTTTCTTACCAACAATATTAGGTGCAATATTGAGTGGATTAGTGAGTGGACTAGCCAGTTAACATGGAAAATGCAAAGAAAATGATACTTATCGAACCTGGATTGATTGAAAAATTAAAACAAGAAAATAAGGTTAATAGTAATTTATCTCGATTAGATATTGAAATGCAAAATATTATGAATAGTAAGACGGAAGACCGAAAGAAATGGATATTATATTTACAAACACTGCAAAGATACCTTCATTTTACCGAAGAGGATCGTCAACCACTCAAATTACCAATTTATTCTGATACATCTAATGAAGATTCAAATGAGTCAAAAATTGGTTTTAAAAATAAAGATAGAGATCTAAAAACTTCAGTTGATATTGAATCTTTGCTGGAGGAGAATCGATCCATTAAAAGTAAAGAAAATGATGAAAATCCACTTTACACACCAGCTCAAATACTCAGTTTAATACCAAAAACTTATCATAAAAAAGGGCAGTTATTATTAAACTTAGTTGAAACAAGTAAAAGTAAAATACATTGGGATAACGAAGGTACAGTCATAATTGATAGTGAAAAAATTCCTGGAAGTAATATTGTTGATTTAATAAATGATTCACTAAGACCCCTAAAAAGAAGTGATCCGGTAGGGTGGGTTAGATTTGCTGAAGCATTAAAAGATATTAAAGTACCACTTACTTATATTGGAAATCCAAGGAGATGTGAGTTTATTAACCAACTTCAAGCAAAAGATCTGAACAAACCCTCTGAGATTGAAGTTCAAGAGTTTTCTACACCGTGCAGTAGAGATAAAAAGTCTACAACTAAAATACGTAAAGGACTTGAGTGGGAAAAATGGACTCCGTACTAGAAGAAATTAACAGGATTTATTATGATCCATCTAATCCCGCTGGTTTTGGTAGTATTGATAAATTATCAAAAGCCATGAAGGGTAAAATGAATAAAAAGCAAGTAAAGGAATGGTTAAAATCACAAGAAACATACACATTACATAAACCCATTCGAAAAAAATTCCCGCGTAATAGGTACATTCTATCAAATATTAATGAACTGTGACAAGCTGATTTAAGTGATATGCGAACTTATTCTCAATATAATGATGGTTTCAAGTATATACTTTGTATTATTGATGTATTTAGTAAATATGCTTTTGCAAGACCAATGAAAAAGAAAAACTCAGAAACAACTAAAGAATGTTTTGAAAGTATATTTACTGAAAGTAATTTAACACCTACTCACATACAATCCGATAAAGGTACAGAATTTGTTTCAAAAGATGTACAAAAATACTTTAAATCCAAAAAGATTAATTACTATACCACTAACAATCCTGACATTAAGGCCAGTATTGTTGAACGATTTCAAAGAACACTAAAAATGAAAATGTGGCGTTATTTCACTCATAATAATACTTATAGATATATAGATGTTTTACAAGATTTAATATACTCTTATAATCACAGCTTTCACTCTAATATTAAGATGTGCCCATGTGATGTAAATTCCAACAATATTATGACAGTTTGGACTAATCTTTATGATAGACGGTCAAAAAAACTTTCTTTAGAAAATCCTAAACCAAATTTCAATGTGGGTGATTATGTTCGAATAACTAAATATAAACATGTATTCCAAAAAGGATATGAATCAAATTGGAGTGATGAAATATTTATTATATCTTCAATAATTGATAGATCTCCATGGGTTGTTTATACAATAACAGATTTACAAAATGAACCAATAATTGGTACTTTTTATGAAAGAGAATTACAGAAAATCACTTACAACCCCACCTCACAACATAAAATAGATAAAATAATTGACACTCGTTATTCAAGTAACAGAAAAGAAGTATTAGTGAAGTGGAAAGGTTATCCAGATAAATTTAACAGTTGGATTTTAGCTTCTAGTTTAAAAGAAATATGAATAAAGAAAGTTTCTATTTAACTTTGCTCAGCAATAGTTCAATGGAATACTTTCCTGATAACAAGACCACAAATTTTTCAACGAAATTACCAAAAGCTATAAAATTAGAAGGTGAATGGTCGGTTGGAGTTGTCGAGTTTCAATATCCATGTACCATGTTTACTGTTCAAGACCATGAAAATGTTATATACATTACAAAATCTATGTTAATGCCTAATGAAGATAAGCCATCCACAGTGTACTACAAAAAACATATTCCAGCTACCAACTATGATAACGTTGAGCATATTTTAAGAGTGTTAAATGGTATCGGAGAGAACTTGAAATTTCGCTATGATGAAATAACAAAATTTGTGTCTATTTCGGTATTGGATAAAAATATAACATCCGTAACATTATCACCCAAATTAAGTTTACAGCTAGGTTATGAACCAAATAAAAATCTCCTAGAGAGAAATTTTGGAAAGTGTCCTGCTAATTTACACTTAGGGTTACCATCTCAACTATTTCTATATTGCGACATTATCGATCCTCAGATTGTGGGTGATGTTATGACTCCTTTATTAAGAGTCATTTCATTAGATCCTACAAAATACATTTATGGTGCAAATAAAATGCACGTTTTCTCTCAACCTCACTACTTACCTGTTATGCGAAGAGAGTTCGATACGTTGGAAATAGTTATAAGATCGAGTACAGGACAAAAAATACCATTCCAGTTTGGAACCGTGTGTATTAAACTACATTTCCGAAAATTATAATAATGAATTCTCTTCGTGATCATCATAAATGTCCATATGAAAATTATTATACACATCAAGCTGGATCAGGAGTTGGAGTAATTTATAAGGGTTCACCATATCAACGCGGTCATGGTATTGGGAGCTTCTTAGGGGGGTTATTCAGATCAGTTTTACCTTTACTTTCAAGTGGTGCTCGAGTGATTGGTAAGGAGGCATTAAGCGCTGGAGTAGGACTTTTATCGGATATGGTTCAAGCCCGTCCTATGGAAGCCTCAATAAAAGATCGTCTAAAGCAAGTTAGTACGAATTTAAAACGAAAGGCTGATGAGAAAATTGATCAATTTAACATGAGTGGATCTGGGTATAAAACTAAAAGAAAACGATTGACATCGTTCATTCCACCATTAACTGCTAAAGTGAAAGCTGCGAAAAAACTTAGTCTAAAACCAAAAAATATCAAAGATATATTTTCAAACTAAATATGTCTTTCCTTCATAATCATTCTTGCGAGTGCGTTAAGTCAGAATTGGATTTGTTTGCACTACCGTCTACACAAACTAGCATTGAAAATGGATTGTGGATTCATTATAAACCAATTTCATCTCTTGGTGATGATGGACCTATCGAGTTTCAAGTTCCTGGGACCGGCGATGACTACATAGATTTGTCTCATACATTACTCCACATAAAGGCAAAAGTATTAAATCAAGATTCAACTAACTTGGTATCTACTACAATAGTAGCACCTGTAAATAATTGGCTGCATTCACTTTTTAGTCAACTTGATGTTTATTTAAACCAAAAACTTGTATCACCACCTAATAATACCTATGCATATCGAGCATACATGGAAACCCTTTTAAACTATGCCCCTGCTGCTAAACAATCTCATCTTACTTGTAGTCTTTGGTATGAGGATACAGCAGGAAAAATGGATTCTACAGATGGTAAAAACATAGGATTTGTTAAAAGACAGGAATTGATTAGTGAAAGTAAGGAAATAGAAATGATTGGTCATCTTCACGGTGACATTTTTAACCAAGATAAATTTTTAATTAATGGTGTTGAAATGAGTGTTAAATTGGTTCGATCAAGAGAGAGTTTTAATTTAATTGTTGGGTCAAACGATGTAAAGTTTAAAGTTTGCATTACGGACGCAACTCTTATTGTTCGACGAGCACGAATTAATCCAAGTGTATTACTCGCACATCAAAAAGTTTTAGCTTCTACCACTGCTAAATATCCTATTACTCGAGCTGAAGTAAAAGTTTTAACAATTCCTTCGGGTGTTCAAGGAAAAACTCTTGATAATATATTTTTAGGACAGGTACCGAAAAGATGTATAATTGGATTTGTGAACAATTCTGCATTTAATGGTTCCCTTACTAAAAATCCATTTAACTTTGAAAACTATGGTATTAATTCTTTCAGCTTATATATTGATGGTCAACAAATACCTTCAAAAGCTTTGCAACCATCTTTTAATAATAGCATATTTACATCAGCATATCATACTCTATTCTCGGGAACTGGTATTCACTTTCTTAATGAAGGAAATGGAATCTCTTGTGAACAGTATGGCAAAGGTTACTGTCTATTAGCATTTGACTTAACTCCTGATTTATCAGCTAACTCATCAACTCATTGGAATCTCATAAAGCATGGTAGTGTAAGAATAGAAGTACGATTTGAATCCTCATTAATACAAACAATTAACTGTATAGTTTATGCTGAGTTTGATAATATTATTGAGATAGATAAAAACAGAAATGTTACTGTAGACTATAGTATAGTAGTTAAGGTTATAATATGTGTTGTGTGTTAGATTTTATGTGTTATGTGTAATGCATTTTGTGTGTATGTAACTATGTGAAACGTTATAAAATTAAATAAAACAAATTGTATGCAATATATTTTTTTTATTTCTTTATAAATCTTCTATTTAATCTAATACAAAACACTGTTCGAGTTGAAATTTTACATAAGCACACTGACTAAACCACTGAACATGCTGCTGCCAAGGATCATCATCATCTTCCCAATCTTTTAAACCACCACCACAATGGAAACACTTGGTCCCGTCTGCATGGCCAGTATAAAAGAAACTAGCTTCGGCAAGATCTTCAGGTTTCTGTCGCATAACTAGAGGCCAGTTTTCGAAACTAAGCAAACGGCTAGATTTTGAACTGAAGAATGGATATTCAGCTCTTGAGTACTGCATACTCTTCTCGTTTTCTTCTCCACTCAGTGTTGTAGTTTTGTTATTCAATGATGTGTTTTGTACACGTATGCCACACTCATCTCTTCCTTCCACTCTTGTCTTCCTGTAATTGAAGTAAACAGAATCACATTCACTAATGATCAGCTAATGACTGTCATTGTTAAAAAAGTATTTTTTAACTTTTTCACTTTCTGCTATTGTCTTTGTTATATTGTATACGAGGGCGTTTGTATTGTCGTAGATGCTATCCTTATTAGTCTTTACGTAATATTTAATTCTCGTGGAAGCATGTTTCCAATGATCAGTAGTTGGAATCTTGGATAGCTTCTTCATATCGTACATTTCAATTTTGATGAGATGTGTCGCTTGGTCTCCGTCGTCAGAATTAGTAGAAATGTATGATACACCATCTCTAGCGGCTCGTGCTACGGTTGATGATAACAGCTTCCTCTTTTTTATTTTTGATTCAGCTTCAAAAAAATGATCAATCGATTGCCATTTTCTTTTTCCACCATCGCATGTGTTATTATTAATGACGAGGTTATCACTCTCTTCTTGAGGGGAGAGTGGCGAGTAGTAATACTGTTTATAGGTATCTTCATCGAAGCTCAATGATTTCTGCAACAACACAGTTATCATGTTAATATCAATTTGTTAACACTTAATCATAAAAGTTAAAAAAGTTAAAGTTACAGCCTATTAAAGTCCACTGCTGAACATAGGCCTCCTCTCATTTCTGAGAGGGTTTTAGAGCAAGGAAATGTCCGCCGCGCTCCCTCAATGTGTGTTGGCGAACTTCACATGCCTTCGAAATTTTCTCAGACATGCAGGTTTCCTCACGATGTTTTCCTTCACCACCAAGCACGTGGTAATAAGCACTTAAAATTGCTATTAACAATTTAATTGGTGCTGGCGGGGATCGAACCCGGGTCGCGTACTGTGAAATTTACAGCTAGCGCTAACCATCTGAGTTACCACGGCTTAATCATATACATACACAATATTTAAATAAAATAATACACACACATGAAAATAACAGAAAAAAAGTAATTTAGTCAATAGAATAAACACTTACATCCATAGCCTTTGGTGTATTGAAGTAACACAAATGTACTATTGATAGATCCACTGTAGCCAAACGACCGTACACTAACTCGATGATTGCGTTTGTTGGTCTTATATACCACCAGTACGTAAAAATTCTAATCTAAAGTATTTCCGTAATGAGTTGATAATTACTTTATGCGTCAACCAGTTTATCTCACATTTCCGTTGCCTATCTCAACATTTCTTCGTATTGTGTTTTGTTTGGTGATCAATGACTCAAGTACGATTTGTATAACACAAAAATGCAATTTAATATGTAGAAATCACTATAATTGACCATTCCTATGTTATTCATTGAGTAGATTGGTACTGTAATCATCTACTAATAGCAGTAATATCATGGATACACTAGATGTACAACAACATCTGAAAAAGATTCACCCCAGTCTAGAAAATAATGTTTATGCAGCTAATAGACTGCCTATGTATACCCACGTACCAACGTATATAATATGTAATTTGGATACAGATGATAAACCAGGGTCACATTGGGTAGCTTTATATATCGATACGAATGACGTCGGTCAATATTTTGATTCATATGGACGATCACCTGTACGATATCATCTAGAGTTTTTAAAAAGGAATTGTAAAAGATGGAACTGGAATGTTGATAGGATTCAGAATGAGTGGACTTCAGTTTGTGGCGAATATTGCTTAATGTATTTGCTATATAAGTTTCAAGGATGTTCAATACTTAGTTTTACGAGTATATTTACAAGGAACACATTGTACAACGATATTTTAGTGGATGAGATGTTTCGCTCCTATTTTATAGATAATAATTAATAAGATTTTGTATTTTATAAATAAAAATTGTAACAAAATTATGTAATGTGTTTTATTGATGATTCAGATTAGCGTTGTATAATTAGGAACAAAGAACTATAACACAATAGCACTGATATAGTCGACGCACACGCTGCAATGAAGGTGATTAATGAACAATAGAACAATAGAAATAGGAACAACAATGGGACGCTAATGACGGTGGAGGCCCTTACCGGATATCAATTAGATATTAGCTAATTGATCTACACATCTCCGGAACCGTGCATTCTACACAAAAATGGACCGCGGATTCGTGATCAGAGCATGCCAAAACCTTTTTTTTTTTTTTTTTTTTTTTTTTTTTAGGATCGGGCGTCGATGAACGTCGTTGAACCACGTCTGACTCAGGTGGTCTAGAAGTGGTACAACTACACTACTCTCACACGGTAACCGCTTACCAGATGGTAAGCGGTTACTGTGACCCATAGACATCTACATCTATCCTCAATAAAGACTCAAGATGCAGATGCGTTGTCACCCGTGAGGACTAAGATGGAATGCCTCTTTGCCAGTAAAAAGGGTCTCCGGTTCTCTACACTCACCATACCAAACACAGCAGCGTTAAGCTGCTATTTTACGCTGGTTTTCTGTGAGAGCGTGGTCCTTCCCCGGTCGAGCCGACCCATTCATGCTACAACCATAATATAGGTGCAGCATTGCTCTACCACGTATAATATCTAATCGAATCGGACTTAACGAATGTTACTTTACAATTTCTGAAAGCTTCTTAGGGATTAAATTACACAGAGTGAAATCCCTCGCCCTCTCGGTCCTGTACTAAAATTATATCACAATCTCTAAATAACTGGAGCAGTGAGCTCGTGTGGTACCCAAATATCGACCGTTTTTGTATACCTCGACTTTTTTAAATGGGTCAAAACTATTTTGTTGTCAATCCTCAATTCCTCGGCTATATCGTAATTACTAATGCCGCTAATAGCTATAAATGCCGATCTTGCTTAATTTTTTCAAAAATGGTATCGACTTTATCCGTATGAGGGCGCCCAGAGCTAGCTGCTTCTTTCTCATCCCGGACAAATTCCCGGACTGAAAACGTTTGATCCGGAGACCCTTTCTACTGGAAAAGTGGCATTCCATCTTAGTCCTCACGGTTGACAATGCATCTGCATTTTGATTCGCAAACGAGGATAGATGTAGATGTCTATGGGCCACAGCAACCACTTACCATCAGGTGGACTATGTGCTCGTTTGTCACCCTATCCTATAAAAAAAATGTAGTTGAAGGCTCATCATCAGTATTTTTCAAAATGTATTCAGAAGAAGACAATAGAGAGCGATCGTTTTCGAATAATCAAGCAGCTCAATCGATGTCGACTAATCTATTCTACCACAGATCGATCGGTGCGGTAGAAACTATCGATAAACGTTGAATAATCCATTCACCATAGATCGATGACATCGATCGACGATCGATCGATTGGTGTGGTAACACCCTAAGGCAAATCCTCGTGATATCCGGATAGGCCCATGGCCAGTAGTGGACTTTTAAGAGCTGGTAATAAAGTAAAGTAAAGAATATCGCGGCAGAACTCCCGATACCATCCACACCATTTGGATGATTGGCGGTCCACCACTGTGCGATTTAGAAGATGTTTTCTTCCTCGCACAACTTCCTTGTGGAATAGTTTACCACCAGCGATTTTTCCGGACCGATACGACTTAGGGACCTTCAAGAAAAGAGCCTACTCCTTTTTAAAAGGCCGGCAACGCAGCTGCAATTCCCCTGATGTTGCGGTTGTTCGTGGGCGGCGGTAGTCACTTACCATCAGGTGAGCCGCATGCTCGTTTGCCCCATCTCCTATAAAAAAAAATTACTATCATTTGAATTCACTTCACTAGTCTGTGAACAGGACGATGACTTATTAACATGCATTTATTAACTTTGCGTGTATCTATGTAACGGAATGTTTTAATGTAATTTTCACAACTTGTAGACGACCGATAGACTTGAAAATTTGCGTTTGTATGAAGGATCGATGACAATACAATAATTTGATAACTTTATCCTAGTATCCTGATTAGAATCACCAGGATAATTCTCTCTAGAATCATCACAACGCATGATCGGTGCGTGTTTTTTAAATTTTCTTAATTTTAATACTATTTTACTAACTTAACTTATTGAAGAATCAGGAGTAATGGCCGACTCACTAGAATCCGTTAGACGGACGTCGTTCCGTTTTTCCGTAATTATTTCAAATAAAGCAATTCGACTCCGTTCAAACAATTAAACATATCGGCTTACACAACTAAGGCTAAATTATAATGCCAATTCTACGCCACCCACTCTTTGAGTTAAGGAGTCGTTCTCCCGGTGCTTGTAGTTATTTAAGTTGCAAATTTTTATTATAAAATAATTTAAATACAGATGTACGTAACTATTATACGTATCATATATACGTGACATATCTCCGAAGTTAAAGTCTAAATAGTTTCATTCAAAATTGTCTTTTGCTTTTTGAAAGTCAAAAGTAATGCCATCACTTCAAAAAGTCTTTGCGGCGGAAGACTGTGAGAAGAACTCACAAGTAGACTATTTTTCTCTCAACAGCTACAATTCATCTTATACAATATGTACATAATTTAAAAAAAAACACCTAAAAACTCACTATTTCCACGCAATACTATATTATAAAAAATCATTT